CGTTAGCCAGATGCAAGAGATTATAAGTTGATGAAAGTGTGAGTATTAGATTGTGTGAAAGGTGAGAAAATTTGAAAATTACGTTAGCCAGATGCAAGAGATTATAAGTTGATGAAAGTGTGAGTATTAGATTGTGTGAAAGGTGAGAAAATTTGAAAATTACGTTAGCCAGATGCAAGAGATTATAAGTTGATGAAAGTGTGAGTATTAGATTGTGTGAAAGGTGAGAAAATTTGAAAATTACGTTAGCCAGATGCAAGAGATTATAAGTTGGTGAAAGTGTGAGTATTAGATTGTGTGAACGTGAGAAAATGTGAAAATTACGTTAGCCAGATGCAAGAGATTATAAGTTGATGAAAGTGTGAAAAATCAATAGGTATGAATAGTCGCTATGCATGACTCATCTTGTATGAGGCCATTCAACAAAATCAATAACATAACATTATAGAGCATGATAAATGTTTACAACCTTCGGAAGTTCTCTCGATACCGGTCAATCATTTACTGCATTCAGAAATCAGATTTCCAAAAATTCCATTGACTTTACTACATATAATGTGGTCTCAAGTAAACAGAGGCACCACGTCTGAGATCTGTGCAGCATGCACTCCCATGAGTGTGGGTACTTTAAAAGGGCTGGGATGTACAAAAAGAATATCATGTCAGGACTGCTCTCTGATATTAAAATATTCTATGGTGATAGCCACTTCATCTAATTTCGTAATGATATTCGAGTGTGGATCTGAAGGTCACAAAGGTGAACAGTCCATGCTGTAACTACTCTGAAGGATTGAGTTGAGATGTTATGTTGTGGAACCTGTCTGTGAGATTTAAGTGCCTGTGGTTCTTGAGAAGTCTAAAAAATGATACTTTCGAGATACGATATCGCAGCTTTTTTTTTTGTCTACAACTTGAAACAAGGTTAGAGAAGTTCCAATGATGTCTACAACTTGAAACAAGGTTAGAGAAGTTCCAATGATGTCTACAACTTGAAACAAGGTTAGAGAAGTTCCAATGATGTCTACAACTGGAAACAAGGTTAGAGAAATTCCAATGATGTCTACAACTGGAAACAAGGTTAGAGAAGTTCCAATGATGTCTACAACAAAAAGCGCGATCCATGAGTTTTTTTAAAGTATCAACATTTTGGAATGGCGCCCCTAAGGCCTAGATTTTAACCCTGTAGGATCACATGAAGGGGTTGACTCTGTAGGATAACATGTAGGTTAACCATGTAGGATCACATGAAGGGGTTAAGTCTGTAGGATAACATGTAGGTTAACCATGTAGGATCACATGAATGGGTTAAGTCTGTAGGATAACATGAAGGGATTAACTCTGTAGGATCACATGTAGGTTAACCCTGTGGAATCACATGTAGGTTTACCCTGTGGAATCACATGAAAGGATTAACCCTGAAGGATCGCATGCAGGTTAACCCTGTAGAATCACACGAAGGCGGTTCATATGAAAAGTGAGACCAAAGTTCTCTAAAGTAGCCAAAGGCTTTCCAAACTTCTGAAACAACAAGAAAGACAAACTATATCTGACACTTGTCGAATCCTCATTTTAAAAATGTTTCACAGTTTAGCTGTTGTTCAAGCCAAGGAGGGTACAACATCATATTGGGACAGTTATTATTAAGACCGTTTTCAGTATTCACATCTGAAGATATTTTGGAGAGAAGAGTAAACAGAAAAACCTTTTTTCATGTCGTCTATATATATATATATAACAAAACCCTTGAATATTTGAAATATACTGTTTTCTACCGGTTTTGTAAATTAAAAAATAATCTGTAATAAAATCTTCAACCACCAGTTTTCAAACCAACATAAATAAACTGAAATAAATAGATATTCTTCTTTTATGTACAAACATAAAACACAATCCTTATTGGATTGTTCCCAGGGTCTCAGGAGTAAGTCTCTAAGCGTGCAAAGCCAACATTTGCGGTTCGATCTCAAGCAGTGAACAAATCGCAAATAGTCTATTGTGAAGCTTTGAACTAAAAAAAAAGGCAACAACAACAACCACAAGTTATATAAACCAAACACATTGAAATATTCTCAAAAAATGAATTAGTTTATCTCATTTACTTTCACTTCTTTTCTATTTCTTCATCATTTTCTTTTGATTAAAACTATATTTTAATTAGATTTTCTCCTGTTATTAAAAAACAGTTTATTTTCATAATCTTTAATAACACAGGCCTGTGATGGTTTTAGTGTCTTGATATTTTTACATGTTCTACAGTAATTCCTGTACACTGAATCCGAAAATGATATCCGTTTTTCTCCCTCATGTACAGATTTTTCAAAAAAACGTGATAACGCAATACATAAAAGAAATACCACAACACGTAGTTTT